TTGCGGTATTTTGCCTGTCTCGAGAATATTATTGTAGAGTTTTTCTAGTATAGGAGCTAGAATGTGAGAGAATGTTTTGTAGTAGGCATTGATAAAGCCATCTGGGCCAGGAGATTTTCCCTTTGGGAGTGCTTTAATGGTGCTTGTTATTTCATTCTGAGTAATGGGTTCTTCCAAGAAGGACCTGTCTGCTTGTGTAAGTTGTGTTGTGTGGGTTACTGCTAGGAAAGTGCTGATGTCCGAGGTAAGTGGTTGGTGTGTATGTTGTTCCTTTTTTAGATTGTATAATGCATCATAATAGTCCGCCAACATATCATTGATGTCACAGGGGTTGTACACCTTGTTTCCTAAGGAGTTTGTGAGGAAGGGGATTTTTGAGTTCTGCCTTTTTTGTCGTAAGAGGGCTGCTAGTGCTTTCCCTGCCCTGTTTCCCTGTGTGTACTTTCTGAGTTTGAGCCTGTAGGTTATCGTGGCTGTTTTGTGGAGGTGAATGTCATTTAATCGTTTTTTGATTTGGTCTATGTTCTGTTGCGTGGTGGTGGATGGGCTTAGGGTTTGTGTAGATGTTTCGTCCCTGAGCTGTCTCATGAGGGTTACGTATTCTGTCTTTGCTTGTTTGTTTAGATAAGATGCCTGGCTGATCATGAGACCACGGATGAATGCTTTATGTGTCAGCCACGTCGTGGCTAAAGAGACCTCAGGTGTCTCGTTTATGGCGAAGAACGAAGTGATTTCTTCAGTGAGTTTAGTGGTAAAGTTAGGGTTATGTAGAAGAACCTCGTTCATGCGCCACGGCGATGTTATGCGGGATTGAAATTGATCTGTTAAGGTCAGCATTACCGGGGCATGATCAGACCAAACTATGTCTCCTATCTCACTTCGGAGGGCGTTTGACAGTATGTCACCCGAGACGAATATAAAATCAATTCTGGAGTATGTTTTATGTACTGAAGAGTAAAAGGTGAATTCCCGATCATTCGGGTGTTGTGCTCTCCACACATCGTATAGATTGTGCTCCGTGAGGAGTGTCAGCAATGTCGTGGCCTGTTTGTTTAAAGATTTACTTCTTGAGGACTCAGCCGGCTGTGTAGTATCTAGTCTGGGCTGCATGACGTGGTTTAAGTCTCCACAAACAATTGTGGATGATGGGTAGGTAGTGGGAATTTTATGTAAAACTTTCTGAAGAAAGTTCCTTTGGTCTGTATTGGGGCTATATATTCCCACTAATGTATACAAGGCGTTATTGATACTGCAATGCATTATTAAATAGCGTCCTTGCGGATCTCTTTTGAGATTCAGGAGTTCGAATGTGACTGAGGCGTGGATAAGGAAGGAGACACCCCTAGATTTGGATGAATAGGTGGAGTGAAATTGCGTAGGGTAGTCCTTGCTCGCAAACATGGGTACCCTGTTGTGTATAAAATGTGTCTCCTGTATGCATAGTATGTCTGTTTTGTTGCTGTTTGCTTCTTCTATGAGGAGCCTCCTTTTGTGTGGTGTGTTTATGCCTCGGGTGTTAATAGTCAGTATCTTCATCATTTTTGGGTTCGTATGGAACAATGCTGTTACAGAAGTTCAGTGTTAAATTTTCTGTCCCTTCGTACCGTGGAAGGGGCTGTTGTAGTATTAATGTCAATAGTGGAGGTGAGTGGGGGTCAGACCCATTATTGTATGGTGGTATGGGGCCATACCAGTGGCGATGTTGGGCAGGATTCTTATTTGCCCCTTTAGGAGTTTGTATCCGATCACGGATATCTTGGGAGGGGGGAGATAAACTAGGGGAGGGAGTTTGAACTATGTACAGGGTGTCTCCCGTGGAGACAGTGTGTGGTCGTACCACATTTGAGGGGTGGAGGAGAGAACTCTCTACCATGAACGTGGCTATTTGGGCACCTATGTGTACCTTGATGTGTTGCAGCTGTAGTGTGAGGAATGCGCTTGGGCGTATTTGCTCAGCTGGCGTAGATTTAATTGACACAGCGTCGGCTGGGTTTAGGATGGTCCCAGTCGGCGCTAGGCCATTCCATATGTGCCACCAGTGAGTTTTTTCAGAGGGGGTTTTCCTTGTCTGTGTGCTGAGGTTGCATATCTGGCTTGGTTCGAATCTGTGTTTGTATAGAAACCTGATGTATTACTATATATACCTCCCAGTATGGGCACATGTATAGACAGCAGTTTTACCCAGTGAGGGCCAGACACCATTCCCGCTGCTAGCATCCTCCCCCCTTCTACATTCATCTGCTCTACATAACATTTTCCCCAGTTATCACAGTCCACATTCATAGGAGGCTTAGGTCGCAGGCCCCCCGTTACCTTACGGGACCCTCGGAGCCCCTCTCATGGCTCTGGCAATTGGCAATGTCCGTTAGCCCCGATCAGAGGGTTTAGTCCGTGTGAAACTGGTGTCTTCCTCTGCAGGCCTCGTGTTTGCCCGCCATCACGGGCACTTGGTGATGCAAATGTCTTGTTGTTTAGGGTCAGGAAAGGGGATCTCTATAAGTCAGAGGGAGATGGCGTCTCACCGTCCTGCGTCAAGGTCCAGACCGGGGTCCCCCGCAGTTGCCACTGCTCTGCGCACGCTTCGTTACAGGGGTGGCGGAGGATCCCGGTCCGGTAGCCCACAACTGTGAGGACTCCGCACAGGGCAACCGTTTATTACGGGCATGCCAAAATTCCTTTTCATCCGTGGTGGAGGGAGACCAGCCAATTTCTCGTCTGTTGCATTGAGTTACAGAGTCTGTACATGGAAAAGGGTCTGTGTCCGCAGACCAGTTTGTCAGCTGGTTCAATGTTTAACCTGGGATTTTTTCCAGTCTCGCTTGAGTGTACCTGCCTGGTGTGTAGGATTTGTTGCCGGCTCCGCCGGCATGCCCCAAGCCCGCAGTTTCGTTACCCCCTCTTCTGGAGAGTTCAGCAATGTCGTGTCGCCGTCTATTGTGACTATTAATTTAGTGGGGAAGCCCCATCTGTATCGAATACCATGTGACCGTAGTGTATTGGTCACTTGAGAGAATTCCCTTCTTTTCCGAAGAGTGGCAGCCGACAGGTCTGCATAAATCCGAACAGTGGGGTATTCGGGCGGAGGTTTAGCCCGCATTCTACTGCTTCTGAGTATGTGTTCCTTAATATGGAAGTAGTGTGCTCGAAGTAATATGTCTCTAGGTACCGTCTGAGGGAGGTGCCGGGGCTTCGGGAGGCGATGTACCCTGTCTACAAGTAGCATGTCCGTTGGTATCTCCGGTGCGTGGGTATGCAGTAGGTTCCGCACGTATGCCTGCAGTTCGTCGTTGGAGACATCCTCGGGCACTCCCCGCAGACGGAGATTGTTTCGACGCGAGCGATCCTCCAGGTCTGCCAACTTTTCTTCCAGATTGTTGATGTTTTTTGCCATGTGTTCTACCGTTGTGGCCAGATCATTGTGGGCAGTGGCGAATTCGTCACATTTGTCCTCCATATGTGATGTCCGCTTACCTAGTTCTTGTATATCTTTGCGCATGGAGTCTGCTGTGTGCTGCCATGTTGCAATGAGTTTGTTAGATAGGGTTTCCAGAGCTGCTGTGAGATCAGCCTTTGTTATTTGTGATGTGTCTGGGGTCGATTCCAGGGAATCAGCCTGCGCGCCATCATCCGATTCTGGGTCCATGTGTTCTTTTGAGGCCTGCGCCGCCATTGTCGCAGAAGTTTGCTTTTGGCTGAAAAAATTGAGCTTGTCCGGTTTTGCCGAGCTCCTCTTGCCTTTGTGGTGAGACATCGTTATTTTGTAGCAGCAGATGCTGTGTACAACACTAGGATCTCATTAGATTAGGTGCCCAGGTGCCGGAGCGAGGTTTCATGCGACCATCTTGCTCCGTGGTTAGCCATGCCCCCCGGCATTTTTTACTTTAGTGAAAAACACTGCTTAACAAAGGCAGCTGCAACACCACTTATTTTTATGACATTTCCACTATTATTGTTTTATTCTAATTTCTAAAATATAATACAGTTTGCATAGCCTCCACTTGGCCACTGTACAGTTTTTGCACTTAAAGAAGATGGTGCAGAATTTACATTTCCAAGAGAGTTATAGCCTTGCAGACATAGAAACATAGAATGTGACAGCAGATAAGAACCATTCGGCACTTCCATTGCTTTGACTAGTCTTTGTAACTGGTTGCTGTCAACCCTTTGTTTTGTTTTTTAGAATTAATTTCATTAGCTACTAGGTAATATGAAAAGCAGGCTAGTTATTTAGTATTTAGTGAGCTAAAGTAATACCATGACACATCAAAGTAAAAGTATATACAAAAAATACACCAAGCCCCTTAATACAAAATGCTTAGATTGTGTTTAATCAATTTCTAGTGTTACAGTTCTATTTTACTCAGTAAAACATAAACTTATAAAATGGATCCTCATATTCATATGAGAAAAGTGAGAGATGGTCAGAGTAGTCTTCCACAACTCAACACTACCACCACCAGAACTGCCATGGCCACTCAGCTAATACCACCACTTACACATCAGCCATCAAGATTGCCAACACCACCACAACCACCAGTAGTACTATTAGTAGTATTACTTTAACTGTAATAAATTTAGAAATTTAGTGTGTAAATTAAATCTAGTTGCCCAGTAGACATTGCACATTTTACAATGGCTTTTGTGGCCCACAAAGGAAGACTCAAGCTACCATGGGACATTCAGTTTCCCTTTTCCCAGCACTCCTGCAGCTTTAGAGGGCAAGCAGTGGATGCAATTCTGTGAGCCATGACAGCACCAAGACGCAAATGTTAATTTCAAGGCCTTTTTCTAGTGCCCTGGTGCAATTACCTAAAGCATCAGCAGGAGGATCATCACAGCCCAGCAGAAATTTTGGTGGAAAACCCCCCTTCCCTTTAGAATACCAGCAAGAGCTATAGCACCAAGAGCAGTAGTCCACCTAGTAGTAAAAAGAAGTGTGTTATTCCTCCAGTCCCAAGTTCCTCATCTTTATCAACTGGACATGGAAAGTTCTGAATTGGGACCGTTCAGCACAAAGCATAGGAGCAATAAGGTTAGGAGTCATCGTATAAAAAAATGTTCCTTCGTGCAAAAGGGGGCTGTTTTCTCATTTCCCTCCCATGACTACCAGTTCTTCTACTACTAGCGGGGCACTGCTGCTAATCCTACTACCTGAAGTACTGCTGTTATCCCTGCTATGTTTTTTAGAGTAGCAAGGTATCATTGGTGAAACCTATAGAGTTGCTTCATTTGCCCATGTTAGCTCCTAGTCCAAATAAGCACCCCAAGATGGAACTAAGTGAGAGTAGCTAAAATTTTAGAGTCTGCAGAAGTAGTTTCTGTAGACAAATACACTGATCAGCCACAACATTAAAACCACCTGCCTAATATTGAGTGTCCCCCTCGTGCTGCCAACACAGCTCTGATGCATTGAGGCATGGACTCCAAAAGACCTCTGAACATGTCCTGTGGTATTTGGAGGGGTGACAGAGTGTGGGAGGGAGTGGCAGATGGCATAGTGAGGGAGGGGGTGACAGGTGTCAGAGAGGGGGTGAGAGGTGGCAAAGTGAGGGGGTGACAGAGTGAGGGAGGGAAAGGGTGACAGGTGGCAGAGCAAGGGAGAAAGTGGGTGGAAGAGGGGAGGAGGGGGAGACAGAGGGAGGGGATGACACAGTGATTGGGTGACCATGAGGGAGGGGGTGACACATTGATGGGCTGACCATGGGGGGGGGTGACACAGTGATGGGGTAACACAGTGAGGGAGGGAGTGGCAGAGTGAGGGAAGGAGGGGGTGACAGTAAGGGAGGGGGTGACACAGTGAGGGGTTGAAAGAGGGAGGGGGTGACAGTGATGGGGTAACCATGAGGGAGGGGCTGACGCATTGAGGGAGGAAGATGTGACAGTGAGGGAGGGGGTGACAGGTGGCTGAGGGAGGGAGGGGGTAACTGGTGGCAGAGTAAGGGAGGAGGTGATAAAAATACCTTTTATTACTCTGGTGTCCCAGTGTCATGACTTCCTGGTGGTCCTGTGGGCTTTCTATCCAGTCTGCAGCTCTGCCGGGTGTGAGCTGCAGACCATGTGATAGAGGAGTCTCGCAGTCTGCAGAAGTCAGAGAGATGCAGTGGTAACCCACGGGAACGCTCTGATTAGTTGAAATCTGTAGACACTTTACAGTCTGCAGCTCACACCTGGCGGAGCTGCAGACTGGAGGCTGGGCTCACTTTTTTTTTGTCTAAATCGCCTAATTAGAGAGCCGCCTCTCTTGAATTTTGTTACTCTGATGTTTATGCCTTTGTGTTTACATTTTAATATTTTGACTGAACTAAAGCCCATCAGTCATTTGCCCGTTGAAACTCAATTACATCATTACATATTTATATATAGACAACCTGCAGCTCCCAGGTGCTGTCTAGTACAACTTACAAGACACTGCCTAGGCCTTGTGCTATTTGTAGCATACAAAGCTTTAACACTTCCATAGGTTTTCCAGGTCTTGAGGCAGACAAATACACATACTGTCTCACTTTTGCCTTCTGCCTTTTATTATCTTACTGATTCTTATTAGATAAATCACAATTATTTTGAAAAAGGAAGAAAGAGGAACGGAGCTTCCAAAGTGTTAATCCATGGCTAAGAGTGTAGTTCGCCCTTTATGATTCTGAAGGGGATAGTTGGTCGTTATTCATAGCATTAACAGTGATCATCGTGGTGGTGACCGTACTTTTCTTTCTCTTTTAGGACACCATTTCCTCTAGGTCCCAATCCCAGGAAGATGGAGGTTCTGACAGTGGTCTCTATGGAGAAGACAACATGTGAGTGACACTACAGAAGAAAGATCTAAAATGAACTAAAATAAAATAAGTGTTCTAATTTAATAAACAAAAAATAAAACTGGGACCAACATGAGATGTGGAGAGGGGAAGGGAAATTGTTTTACTTCCTACATTAATCTGTTAAATTAGATAATTTAGACTGGCTTTTCTCGCCAAATTCATCAATAAAAATGTCAACTCAAATCAGTTAAAGCTAGCATTAAGTGTTAAAAAAAATGTTATGTAAATTCATAAAGGAGAAAAATAGACCATCAATACCTTTTTCTGTTTTCAAGCTGTGTTCAAAGTTGTTTCACTTTCCATTCTAAAGGGTTATGTTATTAATCTTAAAAAAAAAAAAATGTAATTATTTTTTGCTGTAAACAAATATTTGCTAGGCTCACATTTTCATTTATCATGAATAAATGTAAACAGTTCTGTAAAATTGCATACATTACCTGAATTAGAAAACCTATACATTTCACATTATACCAGTTGACTTCAAGGCAGCAATCCTAAAATCTTACTATGACTGCATTCAGAGAAGTCTAAAGAAGAGAAACACATGTTTAAACTAAATATACTGAGCAATTGTTTTTTTAAAGGGGCAAACTTGGCTGGAATATTGGCCTTTTTCACTTGTGGTTTGTTTTTGTTTTTTATAAAAAAAAAATGTCTTACAAAATTAGAAATTAGTTAGAAATCCTGATAATAAGAGATAAAAGAAAGTTACTCAATTTGAAGGGATACTATAGTCACCAAAAAACTTTAGCTTAATGAAGCAGATTTTGTGTGTAGATCATGCCCTTGCAGTCTCACTGCTCAATTCTCTGCCATTTAGCAGTTAAATCACTTTGTTTATACAGTCCTAGGCACACCTCCCTGCATGTGACTTACACCGCCTTCCTAAACACTTCCTGTAAAGAGTCTTCTAATGTTTACACTTCCTTTATTGCAAATTCTGTTTAATTTAGATTACGTTAGAATCTCCTGCTCTGTTAATAGCTTGCTAGACCCTGCAGGAGCCTCATATATCTGCCAGTCAAAGTCAGGGGAGGTGCAGCTATGGCTGCATAAACAGAAACAAAAGTGATTTAACTCCTAAATGGCAAAGGATCAAGCATTGAGACTTCAGAGGCAGGATCTGTACACAAAACTCATTAAGCTACAGTTGTTTTGGTGACTATAGTGTTCCTTTAAAGTACTTGTTTTTTGTGCAAATCTTCACACAATACACACCCCCTTCTCCTGCCAGCCTGCTCTACTGTTGTCTGCTGCTCTCATCAGTGCTAGACCTGCTGGCTGCTCCAGCTCAGTTACCATGCTCTGTGACTCCGCCATACTGCAGGGCACATCACCAGCAACACACTACCAACTGGATCCAGGGACAGCACTGGAGATCAGATGAAGTGACAGGCGGTCACGAAACGCGTAAGGTTGCATCCCACCGGAACAGACACTGATTGGAACGCAAATTGAATCAAAGTGGAACGCAGGCGGCAAGTCTCCCCTTCAGCTTCTAAACACACAGAATCCTGCAGCTGTCTTCAAAGCCGGCTTTTTGACAGTCAGCTAACGGCAGATGATCTGAACTGAAGGTGGTGTTACTCCGGATAAGGTTCCCATTCTTTTGTAGCCATCAGTGAATGTATTTTTTATGCTAATACATTTTATGCTAATTTTGTTTTACCATAAATCGTGTTTTTTATGGAAGACACGCTGCTACCTTTCTTATTATAGAAACTAACTGCTGGAGTTGGAAAGTTTTTTACACTGACTGAAATATCTGATCTGTATGTAGAGAAGTTTATTACACTTCGATACATTTCACTAGTATATCGGACGGAGTCATTTTATGTGTATCACACTGTTGCTGATTATCTCAATGTGGCACTAGATTAACACATTTGCTCCTACTGGTTAGATTTCCCTGCTTCCAAAATAGAAGGGTATTTTAGCCTTATCTAAATAGGAGCATACAGCCCAATGGACTCAAGAGACTTATTTGAAACATTTAGCTAACCATTTTATGTTTTATATATATTAAGGACTTTTCTCATTCTTTTTTCCTTTTATCATTTTTCATTTACAGAGACTATTTCCATAACCCAAATGGTTGATATGTTTTTATGTCAATACCATTGCGTTTAATTCGAATACCATATAACGCTGTTTAGCGAATTTACCCTTTTTTTTTTTTTTTGTAATTTTAATCCATATTTTATTATCAATTTATATTTCAATATAGATATATGTTGACATATTCCCTGCAGTACGTGAAGTGGCTATAACTATCTCCTGGTAACAGCAATTGGATCTCTTTCTTTTTGCTATTTATATCTATTTTAGTATTTCTCTTAACCTTAGGTGTGGGTTATATTTTCTGGGATTTGAGAAGTTGTATGCCTCTTTTGTGAGAACACTATATAACCTTCCTATTTATCAGATAGGATTGATATTCTTTTCTGGTGATTTTTTACAGGGAGTATATTAGAATGGAGGAGTTGGGAAAGAGGAGGTAGGGTTCAGATACGGAATGCAAAATAACTTTTTTCTTATTCAGACTCTGTGCAAATTATGCATGCAGTAAAATGTATACTTTATATTAATTGGTAACTATTAAGACTAGTGGTAAACAATTTTTGGCACTCAAGTTGTTGTGGACTACAAGAGCATTATGTGAGATGTAGTTTACACTAACTTGAGTGCTGAAGGTTGTCTACACCTGATTTATGCCAAAACTAAAATGCATAAAAGTTGTGAGGTGTTCCTTTATGCAACCTGATAGTCATACCTACCTATTTCTTTTGAATGAAGGATCCTGTAAGCTGCATTTAGATTGCTCCTATTAACAGCGTGCGTGGAAATCACAATAAAGTCACTATTAAAAATAAACACAAAAGATAGATTGAATTGGTTATTTTTTTTTAATCCCAAAGTATTTCAGATTAACACCGAAGTGGCTCTAATATACAATATTCATTGTGTTTTAAGGTGAAAAACATACCAAATTTTAAGACAATAGAGAAATTGTTCATTTACCCATTTTTAATTAAAATGCTAGGAACTAGTTTACACAGCACTGCATGTGTTAAATAGAGCTTGCTAAAAAAGTTAGGAGCCAGTCCTTTTTTAAATTTTTTTTTTACATTTTTATAGGGACACTATAGTCACCAGAACCATTATAGATTACAGAGAAAAGGCAGTGTTTACATTGCTTCCTACTAAGACCTCTAGTGACAGCCACTCAGACGATAACTAGAGAGTCCTGTGTCAGTGTTCTGTATGGAGGCGCTGAATGTTACCCATAGAGAATCAGAGTGGGCGTAGGTACCTAAACAGACACACACAATCTGACAGGTACATATAAACACTGACAGACATAAACACACACAAACCGACAGAAGCAAACCTACACTGACACACACCCGCCAGTAGGGCTGCTCTGTTCCTGCGCACAAGGGAGCAGTAATCTACCTGCAACTCCTCTCTGCCATCTCGCACTGTCTGTAGTGATGCCGAGACCGGAATTACGTCATATCACTATACAGCGCGAGGGAGCAGAGAGGAGCTGCAGGTAGATTACTGCTCCCTCGTGCACTGCCGCAGCCTGTCGCCTCTATGCAGCCCAGATCGGGCGGCCAGCTACAACGCTCCATGCGCCGGCCACCTCCATGCTCCCCAGGGCCGCCAACTACAACGGTCCATGAGTCAGCTGCCTCCATACTCTCAAGAGCGGGCGGGCGGACGGCCCCATTGTTTTCCCAGCCGGTAAAGGACTGACAAATCCCAGGCACCAGGGCGAAATTTCTAGTTGCCATGGTGACCTGGCGCCTGGGATTTGTCGAGCCCTGGATTAGGACACTACCTATTTATCTACACACTGTCTGGGGAAGAGCTATCTCTTTGTTCATACTCTGTTCTGCATGGATACGAAGATTCTGAGACTTGTAGTTCAATTATTAGATTTTTACTTATTAAACCTGCAATACAATCTATTGTATCATATCTATTGTTCCCTGAGATCCATTGTTGATCATACAGGGAGTATTTTAGAATGGATGAGTTGGGAAAGAGGAGGTAGGGTTTTTTTTTATTTTCTTATTCAGAATCTGTGAAAATTATACATGCAATAAAATGTATACGTTATATTCATTGGTAATTATTAAGACTAGAGGTAAGCAAATTTTGGCACTCAAGTTATTGTGGACTACAAGAGCATTATGGGAGATGTAGTTTACACTAACTTGATTGCTGAAGGTTGTCTACACCTGATTTATGCCAAAACGAAAATGCATAAAAATTGTGAGGGTGTTCCTTTATGCAACCTGATATTCATACCTACCTTTTTCTTTTGAATATAGGATCCTGTAAGCTGCATTTAGATTGCTCCTATTAACAGGGTGCATGGAAATCACAATAAAGTCACTATTTAAAATAAACACAAAAGATAGATTGAATTAGTTATTTTTGAATCCCAAAGTATTTCAGATTAACACCGAAATAATTGAAGTGGCTCCAATATACAATATCCATTGTGCTTTTAGGTGAGAAATAGACCTCATTTTATGAAAATAGAGAAATTGATCACATACTCCAAGCAGGCTCCATGGAGCAACACGAGGCTTCCTTTCAACAAAAATGGATGCGGGGCTTACTCATTCACATGACAGATAGGGGCTGGACACATATCCTTGAAACAGGGATAAAACCCCCAGTCTATATCTCCAGAAAGGAGACCTTCTATAAAAGGATCACCAGATGGTATAGGACCCAGGTTCAACTACATACCTACTGGCCAACAGTCAGTGATAAATGCTGGAGGTGTGACAAAGAGCAGGAGAATATGGAACACATTAGGTGGTTCTGCAAAGACATTAGGCCATACTAGGAGAAATAGAAATGATTGTCCCATTAAAGGTCCAATTAACCCCTTCTCAAGTTCTGCTAGGATGGTCCAACTCTTTCTGAGAGATATATAGGCAGCAACTCCTGAATCTATTATTGGGAGAAGCAAATGCTTTGATCCCAGTGTACTGACGTCAGACTCCGACACCATCTAGAGAACAATGGGTACAAAGAGTGGAGTACATGAGGTAGTTGGAGGAGATACATTGGTCAGTACAAGGTAAAATAAATAAATATTTACAAGTATGGCAACCCTGGATACAATACTGGCTACAAACTGATCGATAGGAAGGAGACCAATGCCCTGAAACACTGGGCACTCGCACCCCTAATAAATATGGCAATACCACACAATTGATGCACCAGTGACCCCCACAGGGAGAATGCTCAACTAGAAAAAGAGGAATTGACTAAACATATTGGCACTAATAC